CATTTTTTATGTCTCATTAATTGACAAATAGGTACTTAATTCGGTAGATGTTTATTTTTTAACTGTTTCAAGGGGCCGGTGCCGATTTTCTAAATTTTCTGCAATTCTATGATTTATTATATTCTATATTTTAGTTGTTATCTTAATTATTATAATATTTTCCAGTGTCCACTAGTGTACTATACCCGATACTATTTTATGGGAGGGGGAGTAGTTGGAACGGTGTATTACATCAACATATTAAATATTAAACTTCACAGGAAAAACTATCAGCTGGACTCGTAGAATTGTCGGATTTGGATAACTCTTTTTCTTTTATCTGAAAAAAGATTTTCTACAGCCCTATAGTTCAACACTCGTATACATTTTTTTTATTTCAAATAATGGTATAAATAGTTTGTAAAAAAGTTTAAACTTTTATTTTCTTTTTCAAGACATTTTAAAAAGTTTGAGATTAAAATATTAAAAACGGAGTTCTATACGACTGTAAAATATTTCAGTCTATTAATTAAAAAAATAATAATTTGGTTTATTATTCAGAACATGATCATTATTCCCGAGCGTAGAGTGTATTTTTGAGGACAAAATGACATACTATAGCACCGGGTGTCTTAAACCGATGCTGAGAAAATTAGTGACTGTGCCATACATTTTGTGTTTGCATAATGATATTCTTAGTATTTAAATAACTGAATAGAAAATAATTGTTATGTCTTGATTGTAAATAGTAGAAAAAATAAGACTGGAATGTGAGGAATTGTTTTTTTTTATCATCACTTGTGAGACTAAATCTATACAAGACGTAGGTATATATTTAAAATAGGTACCTAATGTTGCGTATGAATGAATCAAATTAGGTCGGTATAAGTACACTACCTATATAATTATATAAATAACCATTTTTAACACCATTCTAATATTTTGTTATTAGGTACTTTTTTTTAGAAAGACCTAACTTATGTCTCATGGATACTTGGCTTTACTCAATAATCAATATGTATATATAATTAATGTATTACTTATATATTAGGTATATTATAAATTACAGCTTTAATACCCTTGTTACTAATTTACTATGGTCTCATAGTTGATTTACCCAAATAATTATTCCGATAAATAATAGAATATGAAATAATTATAATAGTATGATCAATTTAGAAAATCCTCCCAAAATTAGAAAATTGTGTAGAATAAGTGCTTTGGTCTTTATACATTGAGTAGGTATATCTATAAAATATTATTGTTATACAATCATAATTAATGTTCTGACTTTGGTCGATATTGTTACTATATTATTTATCAAAATAACCTTGGGAATTACAAGAGTTCTGGACTTCAATGTTACACACTTATTTTATTCAATTATATAATATATATTTATATACACGTTTTAAATTGTTATTCGTGGGAAATTAATTTATATTAGGTTTGTGAGGTATCTACTCGAAGGGAAACTTTTGTGACAGAAGTGAGGCAAACTTAATATAAAAAATTATAATAATGTATATTTGTACAACAACAAGTGAACAAACAACTAGGTATATAACAGCTGTTTAAAATAAACATAAACATAACATGTAAAAAAAGAAAATATCAATACTAAAATTTTTTCTTCATTGCATGTCAATTTAGTTCAATTTAATACAGCCATAGGTACATATTTCATTTAAATCCTAAAAAAAAATACAGGTCGTATATGTATATTATAATCCTATATAGGAAGAGACGAATTATTATTTCTGGTTATTTCTCCCTCAAAATACCAACCCACGCCATCTACGTACCTATATATTATTTTATAGCCATCTTATAATTAAATCTATGCATTATAATATAATATAAAAATGATAATATAATGATTTTGAAAACCACCTATCCATTTCATTTTTTTTTTTTTTTTGATATAATAATGTCCTGCTTATTAAATTCTATAAGTATTCACTATTCACTTTATGAGCTTTGATCACGAAAGGAATTCTTATTCAATTTGAGTTATTTATGTTTTTTTTTTCAGTAAAAGATAAGACTTAATACTTCAAACATCCTACTCTCTTTGCTATCCATCTTTCTACCTCTTGCTATTACATAATATATTATTATGTTTATTTATTTTAATTAAAATTAAAAGCAATGTAATGTTTTTCGTTTATTTTTTAGATTCCATTGCACGTTTGAGATGCAGGATGGATAAATTGATAAAAATGTATGAATATTTAATACAATTTTAAATTTAATTATTTTGACTAAATGTATAAATCAATTAAAAGAAAACATAATCGTTAATGAAATTATTTGGTATCTACATTATTTTTTTATTAAGTTGATATAATTTTAAATTTTAATATAATATTTGTTGTATTAATTTACCAAATAATTGTTGAGCTGTTATACCAACTGACTAAATGCTAATTAAAAAAAAATTAAATATAAGACCATAATTCATTAAACGGGCCATTTTAGTATTATGCTAGGTAGGTATATGAGTTATATTATTCATTCCTCAGTGTTGCACGTTTAGCAGGTATTGAGTTTCTTCGTTATTATTTTAGTCTTGTAACTAGGTAGGTTACCTATACCATAATTTACTGTTTAGAAATTACAGTACGCTTGGTTCCTAACTCGAATTATATAACCTCAAAGTTGTGTTCACCTATTGTCTATTATATGGCATATTATTACAAATCGGATATCTAGCACAACATTTTTTTAAAAAACCCTAAGTGGTTATGTTTTGAATATTTTTATTGTTTCTACTGCTTAGTATTTTTGTTTATTTAGTATCATCCATAAGAATTAGGTACCTCTTTATTGTAAATTAATTAATTATTATAGTTATTACACTAATTGTCCATGAATTATAGCACGTATGAAGTACCTACGTAGAGTACATGAGTACCAGTACTTATATAGTTAGACAATATAATACCGACTGGCGACTGCAATCGGGTTGTTCGAAAATAGGGACCGTGCTCAATCGAGTTCTACCGATAATTATACCCATTCATTCAATTGCACTTAAAATGAGTCGTTAATCAAAGATTTTGTAACTGTTAGGAAGTAAAATGTACATCGGTGACCTCAACGAATACTTATTTGTACTAATATTTCTGTTGGTAACTTATAACATAAAACTTATTACAACGAAAATTATTTCCATTAAATGGATTATAATTTGCAGGCATAAAATATGGTATACACTATTATTATAAAAAACACAAAACTATAATATTTTGTTATTTTGTAGTTATAGGTACCATTAATCTTGTTTTTGAAAGGAATGTATAAAGATATTTTATTGTAATTTATAGATAGGTACCTAATTGCTGCATTAATATAACATGGTATAGATTAAAGTCATTAGTGGTGGTGACTGCTATGAGCCACAATAATATCATGTCATTTATTTAGTGGTATCAGGCTTTTAGTGAATAATGTTATTTTTAACTAAATATCAGTGTGAGATAGTACTAACCTAAGGACATATAATATAAACTATATTATAGCAGTTGTGACTTGTGGGATTAAAGTATAGACATAAATATTGGAGTAGCATATAATATTTATATAATGTAATTTCCGGGTACACATGAGGTCGAAGTACACCCTCATATATTAATATAATTTAATATTATTATACTATTAGTACAACTATACACAGGGGCGGACTGACCAGTCCGGTGTACCTACTATAGTGTGTTGTAGATTGTAGCACATATCGGGTGGGTTCAATATTTGGCCAGAGGGTCGTGGGGCTGCAGAACATTTGACAATTTATATTACATAATTACTACTTATTAGTGTATATCGTTGAATAATGCTGGGCCGCTTTCCAGTCCACCCCATCTATGGCTTATGTAATGATTTTGTTTTGTCGCTGTAACCCGATCAACAGTACATAGCAGTACAGTTAACATTTGAACGAATTATTAATATGCTGGTAGGAATGTATCATATTTGATCAAATCATAGTATATAACTAAATAGCCGTTCGGCGTTTATTCGTAGAAATATGAATACCTAATATTTATGTGTTTTTTTATTGATCAGCAGAACTAATGTGAGTCTACGAGATAACAAATAAGAAAAAAAGAAGGCTTATAAGTGCTCTCATAAACAAAATTATTTTAGTTTTTTTTTTTTTTTGGACAGGTTAAAGGTGGAGAAGGCAGGCATATACGTGTGATTAACATTTCTTCGAGTAAATTTATGATAGTATTTTTAGTTTTTTCAATTCGGTTGTTTCTGATTAGGTACTCTTTAAGAATTAAATAAAATATTTATCAAGGATTGTCTCGTCTCAAATCGTTCCCATTTTTTTTTTTTTTCGTAACGTTGCCCGATGTACGATGATTATAAGGTCACACGAGTGTTTCGTAGCCGTCCGAGTGACGTGTATGAAAAAAAAAAAAAATAATAATAATAATGATAGTATCGGATACATTATTATAAAAAAAAGAACGGTAGGTCAGTTGACTTGACTCGTTTGTTCCCTCCGAGCGACGTACGCACAGGCATAGACGTATTCGAGTGTGGGTAAAAACCGACGGGCTCGCAAATCGAGTGTTTGTATACAATAATAATAATTATTACTGCAGCCGCGGCGGCGAATTGGTTAAACGCGCGCACACGAGTCGGTGTGAAATCGAGGGGGGGGGGGCGGGGAACAGTGTGTCCGGGCCGGACGATAAAAAAGTATTCAACGAAAATATTACGATGACACATTATATTTTAGTGACGATGGAGAAATATTATAATGTCATTCTTGTGGACAGACACTCGGAGCCGGGCAATCATGTCGAGTTCGCATTGGCATCAGGTTGATTGAGTCGTCCTGGCGTCGCTAATCGCGTTATTATATTTTCTGGCCGCGCAACGTCGGCGCGCGCGTTGGCGTCGAGGACGTTCCGGCCGGCACCGGGGACATTCCGGTCCGCGTCGGTTGGTCACACTGTGCGCCGTCTGCAAAACAGACGGTCACCCACGCAGATAAAGGGATAAAGCAGAGTTACGAAAAACAACAAATGAGATAACACGTCCGTTCATTATTACACGCGCAACAAGAACGGCTAGTGTAATTTATTAGGTAAAAAAAAAAAAAAAATAGTAACAATAATAACAATAATAATGCTATTATAATAAAAAATAATGTAAATCATGTACAAAACGAAATGTCTGAAAACGTCCTTTTAGTTTAAGTGTTGAAATTCGGTCCGTCGGTAATCTTAAATATTATATATTTTCATTTTTTTCTCCCGTTTTTTTGATTTACAAATGACACAGCATGTACTGCCAGCCAAACTGCAACAACTCTACGTCCAAATTGAAAGATGGTATGTAGATATTATTATATTAATACATTTTGTTCCGTTTTGGTGGCAGTCTGAGATAACATTATTACTACATTTATGTTCGAATTACGATTCGAATATTGGGTACCTATTTTAAATCACAGGATTCGTACACAATTGAATAAATGTGATCACAATATTATGTAGGTTAAAGCTTGAAATTTGTATAAACATGGATTTTAGTTTTGTCACCAAGCCAATTTAATAATATTTATAAGGAATGTAAACTCTATAAAAATTGTGTATACTTTATCGATCAGTTTATTGTATATAATATAACCATACATTTCTAGCTTTTTTAGTCATAACACAAAATTCCCAATGATCAGCCGTTTGGGTTGCAAATTATGTTCTTTTTATTAAATATAATATATAGGTAGGTAGTTTTAAATGTTAGTAGTACATTGTTAGTCATTTTGAAACCAAACATTTGATGAAATTATTATACAGTATGTATACTTTGATATGTTTTATTGGTATCTGAGTAGTAAAATAGTGATATCATAACTGATTCATGCTTACATTGTGACTCGTATAATATAAAGTATTTCAACCACAGATGTTTTAATTATTTATCAAACATATTTTGGTTGACATACTTATTTTGTACCTACCTATGTTTATCTTATAAGTTACCTATATCTATATTATGTATACTCTAAGATAAAATAAACACGATATACCTACCAGGGTACCTAGGTGCTTGTGTAAGAAGCACTTATAACTACACACATACTTTTTTATTCATTACTACAAAATTGTTTATACAATGTTCTCTTATATTAGGTTATTTATAAATCTCATTTGTTTATCTAGGTACTTAAATTATGCTGTTGCATTTTTATGCATAATTCTTGTTGGTATATACCTTAAATACTGAATTATTATTATTGATTTATATTAAGTTTATATGAACATTTTGATTACCCAACTATGAAAGATATATATAAATATAAGTACACAGGTAATAAAATATTTAGTTAAGGTTAACATAAATTCCTGGTCACTACCATATTATGTTTTACTATACATTTTGTGATGAGTGTTTTGATGTTCTAGTTCTTTTTTTTAAAAATGAAAAATAATGTAGTTAATCCTGAAGTCAATGCTATTATAATGCATACATATTTTTAATTTACCTAGATTTTTTGTAGGTACTTACATTTTAAGTTTAATACTTTGCATGTATTTCTATTATAAAATTATACTTATTTTATGTTTTCATAATATAATACCTACCTAAAATTGGTTCCTAAATGCGGATTCTCAGTTTTCACGCTTGTCAACTAATGGTTGTTACGGTGCTGAATTTTCATTGAATTTGAAGCTGACATTGCCTTAAAACATTGTTTAAAGTCACTGAGTAATGATAGGTTAGGTTAGAGTAGAATATTTTACTGTAAATAGGTTGATTTGATTTAGGAAAGTAATTGATACTTTTGTTCAGATCGATTTAACGCTAATTTTTTTTGGTTTAACTCTTGATTTTAATAATATATTGTGTTTAAGTTATGTTTGGTCTGTTATATTTTTATACTTGTTAAATAATTTAGTTATCTAATCTGTACCTAAACAATTTTAGTCATTAGAAATTAATCACGAATCAAAATTGTGCGCTTTAAGAACTAATTTATGTATTGTTGATTTTTTGTATATTAAGTTATTTTTCATAACTACTAATTACCTACTGTTACATACCTACTTATTAATTATTTGGTATAAATATTAAGAACTTATAATTTGCATTGCATTAAAGAGGTACTTATATAATAAATATTTATTTATTTTTAGGTATCTTATTTTATGCTTTTCTTTGAATCCGTGCATAATTAAAAAAAATGTTTGTACCAAATAGATGTTTCAATATTTATTTACCATTTTGTCTAGAATTCATATTTTCTTTTTTGCTAACCTTTAATTACCATGGTTATTTCCATTGGTGTAAGCCTAGTTCCTGCCCATAGTTCTTATTTAAAAATGATTGAATTTTTAATGTCAAACACCATTAGTAAGTTTTTCTAATCATATTTTCATAATTTAAGTATATTATACATGTACCAAAGCATTTTAAGTACTAATTCAAATATGTTTAAAAAAAATAAAGTAAATAAAATAGTTATAAATTAATTTTATATCAAATTCTAAGGAAAATAATAGTAATATAGGGGCTAGTATTAAAAATGTGTTGTTTAAAAAAATCTCCTATATCAGTACATAGGTAATATGCTTTGTATTATTTATTTGATTATTAATTTTGTGTTATATTTATACTCAAGTCTAAAAGTATGATTACGTTATGCAATTAAGATTAGATCAGAAATGCAGTGTGTAAATTCTGAGCTTATTTGTATCTGTGTACAACTTTTATGAAATATATAATACCTGCAGTGATGTAGATAGCAAGGTAATTAAGTTGTATGTACGTATGTAAAATGGATACGAATGATTAAATTTATTAAATTTATTAAATTTATTTATTTAATAAATAAAAAAAAATTTTATTGGTATCTATAAGTAAAATTAACGAGGAAAATAAATTAAGCGACTAATCACTTATACATTTAACTGTTTGAGTTATAATTCAGATACATTAAGCTTTAGTTAATTAATAGATAACGTATGCTTTTTCATTTAATGTTGTGTCAATAATAATATTTTCAAATACATCATAGCAATTCTAGTTACACAAAACTTTGATTACTGAACTCTATCCTTATTAGAGTGTCTATACTGCACTAGTCGCCCCTTTTTTTGTATAATCTGGGTCAATAAACTTTCATCAGTGTTTGGATTAATATCCAATTAGTATTATATTGCATAAAATGTTAAAAGGTTTTACTAAAATCATTATTGAAACCTTTTAAGTTTAAAAATATAACAGCAGTGAACATTTGTGTGCTATTACTCATTAGTTTAGTTTGAATATTTCTATCCCAAATGAACTGTACTTTTCTGACGGAGATCATTCTAGGCCCCTGATGATAATTTACGTTCTAAAATAATTATTACACGTCTGAGGGTCTCCTGCTGAGCTTCTGGATAAACGCATACATTATGGTCGATTGCCTCTCAAGGGTGTGAACAGTAATTTATTGCGCCCTCTTTATTTCTGGAGTTTCTCCCCTTTTACTGAGGTTTTGCGGATGGAATATTGTTTCCTTACACTATGCCGCTATATTGCAAACATCAAATGAAATACCTTCTATCATAGTCCTGTAACAATGACCTACGGTATCGTAATATTGGATTTTATTGCCTAGGGCTGCTGAAATTATTACAAATAATAATTTCGACGAAAAAATATTTTTGTGTATAAAGTAAAGGTCTAATCAAGGAAAAAATGTTTAAAAGAAAACAATTCTTTATGTTTTGATGTATTGAACGAAGTAGCTACGATATATTTAGTAAGTTATTCCAAATACTTATAGCTTTAATTGTAATATAAAATATCCTGATAAGTATAATGTATTAAGTATTAATGCTGATAGACCGCCTCAGAATCGTTTTTGTATTTATTGCATTCAAATTTAACAAATCCTTTATTGCAGTGACCTCCCACTCAATGACAAGGTACACTCGGCACCTATACTATACAGTACAAAGATTTTATTTTTAGTTCCTCGCAAAATGTTGATTTATACTTACTTATAGTCGTTCAAAAATCGATTTTATGAATCAAACTCGATAAGTATACTGCTTTGCAAAATGAAATGAAACATGTATGTTGCCATTCAAAAAAGTTAAATACATAATATCTATGGTGATAAAGCATTACAATTATCTCGCATTAGCCTTTTTATAATGGGATTTTTGAATAACTAAGTACAAAAGCCATTGTGTTTTCGTCTGACGAAAACATGACTAACGAACACAAACACGGGAACGAAAACCGAATGAACAACGGCGAACGTGGACAGCTTTGGACAAAAAAGTCTGGCAACACAGAAATACTAATGCGGCGCTAATACTTGACGTGTTTGACCAGTCGTGTACAAAGGTGCTGAGCGAACGTGGGCCGAACTTTGTTCGGAGACCACGTCTTAAAATATCTCATTGAGGCACTATTATTTCTTCGGTTAAATTAATTCTTGAGCGATCTTTTGTCCTAAAATCTTCTACTAGTACAGTTTTAAAGTTATTGGAATCAATAGTTCGATTAATGACACAGTGATGTTTTCGAACATTTTGCAGTTCCTATAGACAAATATTTTAAATTGTCCGAATCTCAAGAATATGACATAACTTACCAAATACTTTGTTTTTAAAGGTCGAGGAAGTACAATACTGCACATTTGTAGTATCACAAGTCTAAACATGAATGCAATTATTAAGTATTTACAGTTATTAGTTTCTGAATTACAACATCATTCGAAGAGAATTCGTTAATTTACAGGTGAATATTCAATGTCGAAAAAATTTCAAACTCTCACTAAAAGTAGTTAAGCTTTTACTTTTATTTTTTTTAAAGGCAAAACAACTTAATCTTATATACGAATAAACAATTTGTTATGAATTTCTAATTTAAAATAATTTGCAAATTTTCGTGATTTTATTATTAAAAGTTATTGTACATTTACTTCCAACTTTTTTAAACTTTCTATGGGTATTTTATTGAATATCTTGTGGATTGAAATCATTGTATCTTTGATGTTGACCAGTTATCAGTGATCATAAGTAAATATAGGAGAGAGATATGTTAATTTTTGTAGTCGAGTCGAGTTGAAGTATTTAATTGCATAAATTAAATCCACATTATGCATAATATATATACCTAGTATATATCCATACGTATATAGTATATTGTCTATATTTATGCCAAAATATTATAACAATTATCTTTTTTAAATATGTATAGGTATACTGTATAGTTTTAGATTTTAACGAGCATCGTAATAACGCTCCCAAAAGTAAATACAGCGGACAGATACAAAAAAATGTCACTGTAAAACCAATTTATTCATTACTTTGCTCAGAATCTTAAA